CAAGGTGTCCCGAAACTTTTTACCAAGCACTCTTGTGTAGATAGAGCGAGATTTCGGGACATCCTGTATTTGGCCAAATAACATGCAAAAGTAGGCACGACGTAATTTCTTATAAAAAAGTAAAAAAAAAACATATAAAATAAAGTTTTCCGATTTTCTGTTTAGTTTTCGAGAAAATCGAGTTTGAAAATCCGCTACGTACGTATGATGTTACGGCTAACAATAAGCTACGGTTTATCAAGCGACATAACGCGTATAATGTTTATAAATAATGTTTATACGGAATCTAGAAGCTATTAGGTTTTAGGAAAAACAAAGAAAATTTTTAGTGATCATTATTTTATTTTACCAATTACAATATTGCTGGAGCGCTGTTGTTCTCGTTGTTAGATATATAACTGTATCGCCTAATTATCGATGCTTGAACCTTCGGCAACGTATTTTGGTTTTTTAATTGCTCGAATGTGTGATTAGTTGCATGATAAATCACTCGACAAACCATAGCTTAGCCGTAACAGTATACATACGCAATTGATTTTCAAATCTGATTTTCTCGAAAACTAACAGATTCTACGAAAGCAGACAATCGAAATATTTTATTTTATATACATTTTTTATTCTTTTTTATAAGAAATCACGTTTTGTTCGCTTTTACATATTATACGAGCGGACCCTATATGTACCGGATATCTGATACCGAATGGTCTGAGACACCCGGTATATATACCTATATTTGTATACGAATATCGTCGAAACTATTGTATAAGAGATACGAAAAAATGTTCTGAATGAAAATAGGGCTTGGTAAAATCACTGATACGACTTATTTGAAATAAAAAATATAAAATAGGTTTCAAAAACTTATTTAAAATATTAAATAAAGAATAGGTCACAAGAAATTATTTAAAATATAAAATAAGGAATAAGACCCCAAAATATATTTATATATTTATTTAAAATATAGAATAACTTTTATTTAAAATATAAAAATAACTTGTTTTTTTATTTTAAATAAGTTTTTGAAGGCTTTAAATAAAAAATAGATTTCGAAAACTTACTTAAAATATAAAATAACAAATATAATATTTTAAATAAACATTTCAAATAGTATTTAAATAAAAAATATTTTGATGATTTTGTTTATTTGAATTCGCACGCATGCGAGTACATTTCTAAATATGTTTCAATTTTTTTTATAGCTACAGCCTATAATTGGTACTTAATAGTATTAACCCTTCACGAACCAGATGGAAAATCAACATGGATCATATGTGGGTATATCTCATATTCCACACGTACAATACTTCATCATAAATATACTATAATTTAATTACTCACTGTCACTTTTACCGATGGTAACACAACACTCATGCAATTTATTTAAAATAAAAAATATAAAATAAATCCCAAAAATAAAATATTATAAATAAGAAATAGGTGAAAAGAAGTTATTTTAAATAATAAATACTAAATAACTGTTAAATTTATTTTTATTTAAAATGTATATTTTAAATAAATTTATTTGAAATAAGACCAAACTCTGTTAAATCGTTTCAAGAGTACTTTAAAACTAATATAAAAAAAATTTTTTTTTAATTATTTATTTATTTTATACCCTCACCCCTATTTAAAAAATATTTTTAATTTTTATATAATACAAATTAAAGAACATTTGACGCTGAAAATAACGATGTATATTGTAGTTATGTTCCGAAAAACCATTTTTCAAATATGAACGAAAACGTTTATGTATACGCGCGTAGATATTCGTCTCATACTTGCGTTGGTTGCGCGAGATAGCGTGAATGGCAAATACAATCCATCAACACAATATCAGTACAGCAGCAACTATTAAAATATGAGCTTTAATATAATAACAACAACAACAACAACAACAACAACAATAGTAACAGTAATAATAACAGTGTGTCAAACTTAAAATCAGTCAAATATTTTTATAATATACATAAAGGAATGTACAAAATACTTCAGAATTAAAATCAAAGTATGAATAAAGAAATTATTATTTTTATAAAATATCGTTGACTTAATTTTGACTTTTGATAGAGCAGCCAGTTGCAATATGAAAACTTGAAAAAGAAAAGATATTATATCAATAGTAATTCCGCACAAACAAAAAATAGTTTCGTATTACGAATAAACTACTCTATTTACACATAGTGTTTCAGAATTTTCTGAATTTTTGAGTTGCCTAACCTTCCTTATGAGTCGAAAAGTCCTCTATCATTTTACAATTTTCATAATAGTTAACAAGATATTAATTACTAAAAATCAGTGAATTGGTTTTCAATCATTTTTTGCTCGAGTACCATCAACTTTACAAAAAAATGACAAGAAACAAAAATTATTTATTTTCTTTCCATAGAATTTTGAGCATTTTTTCAGAATTTTTTAATACCTGATTTTCTCATGTTGATAAAAATATTTGCCAATAAAAAAAAGTTGCCAATAATAAGAAGAAAATAAACAATTTCTATTTTGCTGTTTTTTTTTTTGTAAAGTTGGATAGTGAATTTTGTAAAGTTGAATACTGAATAAAAAATTATTGAAAATCTATATTTGGTGATTTT